TAGATTTTTAAAATTTTAATTTTGTTTTATAGTGGGTTGAAGAGGTTACATATCTTACATATCCAAAACCAGGATCCTGGAGATACAAAATTGTATTTTAAGAGAATGTGAAAAAGTAGTTGCCAAAATGATTATCCAAGTGTATTTTATATGGGAATGCGGGTGGCATGTCCGGTGGGAGTATATTGTACAGCAACGCCCTCAGGAGTAACTTGGGAGGACTTTTTTTTATCTGAAAGTTTGGGATCCATCTAAGTATCAGGAGATGATCATTTCAAACAACAAAATTTCATAGTTTAAGTTCTTGGATCTATAGATCCTGCCCTCTGAAAATTGGATGGTTCTCTTTCAATGTTGGGATGTTAATATTAAGATTGGGCGGTTCTTTTTCAATGTTGGGATGTTAATATTTTTAAGGAACATAGGTTCTAGAGGCTACATCCTCAAAATATGGGGGTCCAAAAGATGTTTCTAACATGAGTTTAATTTGAGGTAGCAAATCCACAGTATACTCTCTCGAGAGTAACAAATCTTTCCGCTATTTAAAATGTTGTTGATACAGTTTGTTCGATCTGGATTGAAAATCGCTAAGTTTTGAAAGAATGTCCATCATGCGTCGTGCAAGGCGTGATTTGAAAGCATGAATTTGGCTTGACCTACAGAATAAAATGGATTTTGGAAATTTCTTTAAATACTTCCTTTGAAGTATTTAAAAAAGCAAAAAGTCCATACCAATTATTTAGAACCTGGCTATTTATGATTGAGAAAAGTTTATATAAGGCCTTGTGATTGAATACTTTTTTAATCTTTTTAGTAGACTTTGACCGAGGAATGATAGGATAACCATAGGTGGCTCAAATCTCAACTGCAAAATGTATTTTGGGTGATGGGAACTTTAAAAACGATCATATCAAGAGAGGATCCAGAAACTTGGATTTTATGTTTTAAAAAGAGTATACCTCTCGGAGAAATTTATGGAAAAATTATAAAAAAATCCCTTAAAATACACTATGGATGCAACGTACCCCATCCAAACTTGTTGTCTCACTTTTACCCTCCAAACTTGTTGTCTCACTTTTTCCGGAACGGATATTTTACATGCAAATACCCCCCATTAAAAAAGGTTTTTTTTTTTTGGACAGAAATTCCCTTCCCGTACAAAATGCCCCCTTTTTTGACGAAAATGCGCTCCGACAGTCTCAAAGGGCACTCTGGCAATACATGCCTGGAGCCACAATGCTCGACAGTTACATAGGGCGCTCCAGCATTGAAGACACAGCACTCCGACAGTACACATTCTGGAGACAATGCGCTCCGGCAGTCTCAAAGGGTACTCCGGCAATACATGCTTTGGAGCCATAGCGCAACGGTAGTTGCATAGGGCACTTCGGCATTCGAGAGATATCACTCTGGCACTCGAGACACATGCGCTCCAGTAGTACATGTTCTGGAGACGATAGTGCTCCAACATTTGTAAAACGTACTCCGACAGTGCTTGTTCTGGAGACGAGGCGCTCCGCGGTCTTGTTTTGGAGTCACAGCGCTCCGGCAGTATCCGAAGGCGCTCCGGCAGTATATGCTCTAGATAGTAGACTCCGGCAGTTGCATTGCGCTCCGGCAATGTGCTACTTGGGTCCAATAGTCAGCACCAATTGATTTTTTTGTATGGGAAGGGCATTTCCATAAAAAAAAAGAACTTTTTTTGTTGGGGGGTATTTGTATAGAAAGTATACTTTTGGGAAAAAAGTGAAAAAAAAGGTTTGGATGGGGTTTTTGTAACTTTCCCTAAATTTATGGGGGAATGATATATATATATATATATATATATATATA